TGCTCTAACAGATTACCACTTTTTTAAGAAATTGGACAATTTCTTGCAAGGAAAAAAATCAATTCTGTTAAGATAGTCAAAACCGTCTTCACAGATTTTATTGATTCCACAATTCAATGAACTACCTATAACATGGTGAAAGTGCATAGCATAACAATAGTACATACTTTGATTGATTAAATATATAATATCATAATTATTTCGTGATTGTTTTATATAAATTATATTTGTAAAAAGCTTGTGTATATAAAACGCCTATTTCATGTGTAAAGACGTACTCGTAATATTAAGTTTTTATCTTGTTTTCTCAATATCAAGCGAATTGTATTCCATTTTTGGGAAATAAATTCTTGAACTAAAACATAAAACAAGAAGCGCTATAATGTTTTGTTTTGTAAAACATCTTAAATAAGATTTTCCTCAATAATTTTTTATTATCTTTAATTTATTTCAGTGGTAACATTTTCTTGCAAAAATGTATGTTGTACGCTTACGTCTTTTATTATGTGGCAGGATAGTAATTTAATTATCTGAAAGTATAAGTTGTTTAGAAATAAAAAATAATTATACCACCAAATTAAATTTAAACCAAAAAGATTAACAATCCTAATCATGTTATCAAACACTGTTTACACTCGGGACCATGTGCGGTGTGAAAAACCATCATTTCATTTCATCGACCGCGAGGCCACCCGCTGCCAAAATATTGTAGCAAAAATAAATATTATTTCACTGTTAGTCCGGCCGTGTGGAGCAACGTACGGGACGAAATAACACTTGAATCACGAAAATATTAAACTATCGCCACTTCTTTTTACACATTCTAAAAGTATTATTACGTAGGTTGGTTGTCGCGCGAGTGTTTATGCGATGAACGTGCAGCGGGGTTGACGTTCAGTGTTTGAAAAAACACACGTTCATGTTTTGAGTGGAGACTTAGAGAGTACAATGTTTTTTGGTGGTGACTTCTCAAAGTATATGTCGAACGTACAGTTACACAGCAAACCCTATCGAACATAGTCCTCTTTTATAATCAATACCGAAACTTATTTTTATTCATATAAGTCCACTGTAAGCAATATACTTAAAAATTAAAGTATTTAAATTAGTACGGCAATTTAAAAATGAGGTTTTCTTACTACTCTTTACAGTGCGTAGCTAATGGTTAAATGAACTTATATGATGAAATAGTAAGTATGGTCTTCGGAGGATACTTTATTATTAATAAAATTTCTGAAAGTAAAATAAACAAATTTTATTTTAGTCGTCAAGTTTAACTCTGTGCACGGTTATTATGTCTCATATAATAACCTTGTACAGTGTTTATCCTGTACTAATTTAATAATTAGAGATGAAGATAGAATGCCGAAAGAGCTCGATTCGTCGTTTGACTTCTCCGTTGAAGTTGAATTTAACTATAAGTCGGGCAATTCATCCGAGATAAACACACTCGTCAAAAATTTTGACTGTAGTGCTCCAAAAGCTACCAAGTTAGGCGTTACAGGGGTTTTACACATGACTTATGTTTTGTCAATGTTCATCGTAAGACCTATCCGATAGGACACACTTTTGCGGTCGTCGAGCATAGTGCTGAGGTCTTTCAGCGATTCTGCCTCAATGAATATCGACTGCAAATCAAAAGTGAGCGACGTACGCGTCATAAGGTAGAGGACATATTTTAGGATTATATTTAAAGCCTCTGATAATTTGCGACGCTACATGACTTCATGTGAATATTATGTATGAGATTTAAAAATAATCCATGATTAAAATTTGATCTCACGCTGAAAATCGCTTCTTTACTCTAACAACATTGTTTTTCTCAGTGTGATAAACATAAGCACTACTCCCCGAATTTTATATAAACAAATCTTTTAGGTTTAGTAGGCCCAATGATCATTATTTTACTTATTAAGTATAATTATATCAATGCCGTGTTAAAATGTAAAGACTGCACAGTTGGTCTCTCTGATTAGTTGTTTGGGTTAGTCGTAACGCAACTGCCGATCATGTGATTCCAGTTTCGAATATATTTTATTTATTTTAAAAAAAAATACTTTAAATATTTGTACTTCAAAGCTCGGTAATCATGAGTCTGAACACCTATTGCTTAATGAAATTCAATTCACAGTGAAAGTTACCTTAATTTTGCAAGCTCACCTTTTCAAAGGCAACCTATTTAACAACGAGTTGGGCCAAAAAAGTTTTGATGTTTTTTAACTAATGTTTAATGATTAGGGTTTCTCACCTCTCTACTTATTTTTTATTCGATTTCTAGGAATTCCAGAGAGTTCGAGAGTTTTTCTAAAATTTTCGAGTAGTCAAGAAATGTTTAATATTTAAACAAGTCATAAAATCTGTAATAATACACTCAACTAAAGAATTTCTTTCCATGAACTATGTAGAATTTTTATCACAAAACGGAACAAAGAATAAACATTTGAATAATGTACATTGTAAATATTGTAAACACAAGTATATGTACCTTATCGTGGATTACTTGTATCCTAATATCACGATAAATGTCTAGTGTGTAAGTAGCATTTGCTAATCAAGACGCGTTTTCTCGACTTCTCGACCATTTGTAACTCGGCTCAAATAAGGCAAAATTTCACAAGAATTCTCGCTTTGAGTAATTTTAATATGATCGATTCGAGTTTTGTTAACAAATTATGTAATACTATGTAAATGTATCCTGCCCTGTATATTATTACGCAACCTATCATCGGTACTAGAATAACCATTCAATTAAAAACAATGGCAAAATAAAATGTCAAAAATGGTCGAAAAAAAAAGAGGAAGGCCTCACCTATGACAATCATAGACTTTGTTTAGACTATAAAAACAATAATAGGTAATAATTAGGACTTCAATATCCAATAACATACAATGTACAAAAAACATATTCATAAAAATAAATTGCAAATTTGCAATAACTGAGAAAATAAATTAAAAATATTATAGGTTATCAAAAAATGCCATTAAAATGTCTGAGATTATATTTATGTCAGCCATTCCAAAAGATTATAAATTCTACAGTTTCAGACGCATACGGTCACTAGCACAGGTCATACAAAATGTAATCAATTACATTTGTTTATCAATTTTAAGGACTTCTTCGAAAAATAAGTATTTCGAAATAGAACGCTTTCTTGTTATTTTGAATGTTGATTCATTGTTATTTGCGCCATAAAAATTTCCACTTTTTCATTATATTCCGTGACAGATATTAATGACTCGAAACACACCAAAAATACGAACTGCGAGGTGCTTTTATGCTTTTGGCAAAGGTTAGTTTGTAAAGGTGGTTACGTTAAAGTAAATATTAACCCGTTTATGGTTGGTTGAGATATTAAAATATATTTCTTGGATTATATTCGTTTATCTATTTATTTAAAGGTCAATAACATAATGCACGGTATAGCGGACACTGCCTGAGGCAACTCAACCAGCAAAATTGATTTCTGACTGTAAGCTGATTCCAGACACTTCAGAAGAGGGATATCAATATTGTGACTTATTAAAATAACAACCTTAATCTTATTTATTAAGATATACTCTTCAGTTTCTATTATCCCATAGAAAATGACAAGCAAATAAGTCTACTGTCACGTGGTAATTTATTAAATTAAATGGCAGAGAATACATTTTCCCATCATCATTTTGATAGGTCGTAGAGTCTATATAGTCTATATAGTCTATTAGATAGGTCGTATATTATTGACGTGGTAGAGCCATGCTGCAGCTATATTAGTAGTATAGTTGTAGCACTCATGGGTCGGCTCGACCGGGGAAGGACCACGCTCTCACAGAATACCAGCGTAACAAGGGCAGCTTAACACTGCTGTGTTTCGTATGGTGAGTGTAGAGAACCGTAGACCCTTTTTTTACTGGATAAGAGGCATTCCATCTTAGTCCTCACGAGTGACAACGCATCTGCATTTTAATTCGCAAACGAGGATAAATGTAGATGTCTATGGGCCACAGCAACCACTTACCACCAGGTTGACTGTGCGCTCTCCTATAAAAAGAAATATTTAAAGGGTATGAGGTATATAATCTTAGTCTTCAGGGGTCACAATGTATCATACACAGGTCACTGTTGTCGCGTGTAGTGACGATGTAAGAATATCCACTACCCCATATGAACCCGTGGACATCAGCTTGCTCCTTAAGACTATAACAATTATGTCAAATATCCCAATTATGAGGCGATCTAGTGGATTTTGATATGCTGTAAAAAATGAACAAATGAAAAATATTCGTCAATCTTTATATCGTACATCAACAGCTGGGATTTTACTTAGTTCTTAATTGTAATATTATGAAAGCATTGTCCCTTGACAGTCTTAAAAATTGACTTAGGTATATACTATAAAACCTTCTTATATATAGGATAGGGTGACAAACAGTCCACCTGATGGTAAGTGGTTGATGTGACCCATTGACATCTATATCTATCCTCAATAAAGAATCAAAATGCAGAATCAGATGGGTTTTCACTAAGATGGAATGTCTCTTTTTCAGTAAAAAGAGTCTTCGAGTTCTCTACACTCACCATACGAAACACAGCAGCTAAGCTGCTATTTTACTCTGGTATTCTATGAGAGCGTGGTCCTTCCCCGGTCGACCCCAACCACTCGTGCTACAACTATACTACTAATATAGCTGCAGCATGGCTCGACCACGTTTAAAATCTAGCGGCCTCCAAAAAGTAACAGAAGAAACATTTTGACTAAAAAAACCCAAGACCTAAGATTTCCAAGACAGTTACGGAATGCACCAACTACGATGCGAATCGTCGAAGTCTATGAACGTCATCCTATTGCCAAGCCCAGCGTTCATACCAAATTCTTCAAACTTTTTTATACTATATATAAACGTGTGAGAAGTCATCTACCAATAGGTTGCTTTTGTCTCGTGTTATTAGTGTTATTTGACTTAACTGCACCTAAGTTACGAACGCTATACCTACTTATACGTAAATAAATATGGCTTACCTGCAGAAGTTATAGGCTTGAGATCAGGTGGAGAGAGATGCGGCAGTGTGTGGTGGGCGGGTTGAGGTGGCGCTGGCGGTGTCTGGTGAGGTGAGGCGGGGGAACCTGGCTTGTCTCGCTTGTTCTCCGCCTTCACCGGTGTCTCGCCTGCTTTTTGCTGCGCGAGTCGCTCCTGCTTGCGGAATTTCGCCCGCCTATTCTGGAACCATACCTGAAATGTGTTTTGAGTTTGTGAATTGTAACGAACAAATGGGTAAATCTAATTTCAAACTTTTATAACCCATACTATACGAAAAGGGTAATTAGCACAGGTAAGCCACTACCTATCCTTAGAGTGGCAGCCTCGTAACGTTATAGCAAGTGTAGGGCAGTCCCCTACTAGATGTAGGACCCGGTAAGAGATGCAGGAGGTCGATGTATGCAGATGGCTCAGGATAAGGACCGTGCTATGTGGCATTCCTTAGGGAAAGCCTATGTTCGGCAGTGGACTTGTGTTGTAGTGGCTATTATGATCATGATTATGATAAACTGTTGTTAATTTGTACTATCTATATTTCATTTATCCAACCGACTTCAAAAAAGGGAACCTCCCCAATTTCAATTAAAAATACTCTATTTTTTATGTATGTTACTTCAGAACTTGTTTCTATATGGACCGATTTTGATGATTCTAAATTTGTTTGGTATAAATTTGATCAAGATGTGACCAGCAGTTTTTGAGTTATCTTTAATTATGCGTATTTAATTGTCTTCAACTACATTGACGATATTCTCATTTTATTTATATTGAAGTCGGTTGCACAAAACGTTTAATTTTATCACCTGTTAAGAGTAATAAATTGTAGTTACCCTATAACGTCGCAAAATGAATGAAAAAATAAATGAAAAGGGGGTAATGAAAACTTCACATGCAAATGTGTACCTGTATGAACAAACAAAGTTAGCGTTCAACCCGACTAATGGGAAGGCATCCCATGCATCGAACGCCAAATTTTAATGCAAACCGTTTTATATTCGTACGAATGCGCGCAAATCCGAATTGATCGTAATTCGATTTGTCACAAGAGATAATTGCAACTGCCACTGGCGCTGATTGGGGAATGTTACGAGTAAAAAACGTGTCGTATAGAATCGGTTCGACCCGGCGACACAATCATACGCATGCACTGTTTGCCCAACCTATTGTACGCTGATGATGTTTGCTCACTTTTATACATTTTTTCATTTATCTTTACATTTAAAATTTACTACACAGTTTAGTTTATACCATAATATCTGTAACGAGCAAATCAATAAATTGTAAAATGAGGTTCATTTCCATGTCAACAATAAGAAAGTTATTTTCATGTTCTTTTTAAGATTCCATTCTACCAAAGGAAAAACACCCTTATTACTTTTTTTCCGTTCGTTTGTCCGTCCATCTGTCCAAAAAACGGAACCCTTAAGGTTCACTTTATTCCTCACAAAAGCATGAAACTAAAATTAATATCAAATACAGTTTACTGTCCCTTTAAAGGCAAAGCTTTCAAAAGATACGGTGATTTATGTTACATATTTTGATACTCGCAAATTTACTACTCAAAAGCTATTAGGTACTTACCGTTGACCAAGAATCATGAAATTTGGTAAAAAGCTAAGTCTCCCAGCACAAGTAAAGGAAAATCGTTAATTTGGAGTTATATCACATAAAAAATTGCTTTTGTGATTACAAACTTACGTGGTAATAATGATGCAGTTTTACAATTGTAGCACTAATGGGTCGAATCGACCTGGGAAGGACAACGTTCTAATAGCAGCTTAATGCTTGCTGTGTTTCGTATGGTGAACGTCTCATCTTAGTCCTCAGTGGTGACAACGCATCAGCATTTTGATTCTTCATCGAGGATGTATGTAGATGGCTATGGTCAGCATCCATTTACCATCAGGTAGGCTGTGTGCTCGTTTTTATCCTTCTTGCATTAAAAAATGCATATGAAGCACCGACCGTGATAAAGACCGTTGTATGGGAGATCATTTTTTCCACTGCTAAGTTAAGTTTGCCCTTCAATCCGATTTACTTTTTCGTTATAGCAATGTTCGGTAGCTCACCTTACCCATAATATTAAGCCATAATATATGTAGGCGATGCGTGCAATTTGTAGATATATCATTTTCATTCTTTCAACTACGTCTTCTGGATTCAATGCAAAACCTCGCAAAATTTTTGCTTGGTGGCGGAATAGCCTTAGGCTGCAGTCATCATTATACTATATTGTAAATTTTGCTTTTTAAAAAAAAAGTCCCGCTGATTTTCTTGCTGATTCTTCCCAGGACAGAGGTTTTTTTTGCGAACCAGTGATAAAAAATTACTTTCAATAAGTATTATGTATTGTAATCTATATTGAACAAAAACGATTCTATTCTATTATATTTTATGGAAATGGGCCTTTTTTAAAATTAGGCCTCATCGATAGGTTATGAAAATTAAACAATAATGCAATATTAATGTAAACTATGTATGTACTTCTTTTTAAGTGAAATATTACTTTTGTGAACTAAAGTTTTTTTAAACCTAAAAAATTATCAGCAGTAGCATAAAACAACAAATCCGCTACTTAGAATAAATTTCTCCTGTTCAATTTCTCCCCTACCGACTCTGCCACTTAGCTCTACAGCAAAAATTTGCTTGGTCACAGGTTCCTCTTTAATTCTTTGTACATGTCCTACCTACCGAAACATTTTTCTTAATCCTAGTCACAATATGTTCTTGCAAACCACACTTTTCTCTTATCACACAATTTTTCACCCTATGATTTAGAGTCCTCTATGAATTAGTGGCAACACTCACTCGATATTCAGGTTGCCATTGATTAGAAACAGTAGAGAGCCAAACTCTTAAAGTCTCAGACGCTGTTGCCTGTTATCGATATTTGTGAAATCTGGAGTCCTTAATATGATAATCTTTACGCCTTTAATCGGACCACAGCATCCTTAATATGTCGCTACGTAGATTGCTACGACATTAGCGAGACGAAATATAATAAAAGGTTATCTAAGGTCGCCATACATACGCAAGGGATTTTTTTCTTTTATAAAATTAAACCAACAAGCGAACGACCAATATACATAATGGTACTGTAGCCCATAAGATAACGCCCACTTACCACATGCCTCCTTCTAATTGACATTTTTTAGCTCTGTCCCAATGCTTATTGACGAACTTCACATGTGTTTAATTTTTATTTTTATTTCTACGACATGCAGGTTTTCCCAAGATGTTTTTCTTCTTCACCGTCCACGTACATATCATATTATAATTGACAATTTCATTGGTGCTGACGGGGATCATCTAACTTTATGAAATTTACAGCGAGGTCCTAGCCCCTGACCTACCATTACTCTATAGCTTATAAAACTAATACTCTCGAAAAAATTCAAGTGAAGAACTACCGATGCAGGGTTATCTTGGAATCCCTCCCAACTGTAATCAAACTGGTTCTATTTCTTTATAGAATAAGGGTGACAAACGAGCACACACTACACCTGATGGTAAGTGGATGCTGTGGCCCAGTTAAACCTACATCTATCCTCAAATAAGAATCAAAATGCAGATGAATTGTCACCCCTGAGGACTAAGATGGATGCCATGTTTTCAGTAAAAATAGATATCCGTCAGAATGGGACATAAAATTGGATTTTTTGGTGCTAGAATCCTACCACTTAGTCCCATCCTTGGCCTCCCACGTAAAATGCTCTATAAATCTGTAAACGAAGAACTAAAATATTTTTCACATATTGAAATTAAAGAACAAAGAGCAACGGACTATAAATCCGTTGTAATAAGCTTATAACTATCACGTACGTACACCACCCACGAGTCAACGTATTCGCCTTGGCAATGATGTGACAAACGTTAATGAACTTCAGCAATTCTAGAGACAATTCGAGTGCTTTATTACACCACGAAGCAACACATCAATGCCATGTAAAGTGGAAAAATATGACTTTTAATAAATACACTCAATGATACGTTTTAATTTACAACTACGCAACGTTTGGCTTTCTTTTAAGACAAAATGTTTTTTGTCCACATTTAATATCGTCGTTCAAATTTAATTTAATTTAGAACAAACGCCTAAGAGCTGTGGTAGTTCAGGGATAAGCACTCGTTTAAAAATTTCATTGTACGCGAGCAAACCGCGTTCGATCCCTGCCAGTTCAATTATCAATTGCAACCCAGCAGCATGGGGCAGTGTTCTTTCCTGCTCAGAAAACCATCTTAGATATTGAAATTAAAGGCTATAACTTTATTCTTTTTAATAACTGTATATTTCGATTTTAACCTTTATTTACAGGCATGATATTGATTTTTTTTACATTAAAAGTCAATCGTTTTATTTATTTAGATATTGTCTACATTATACACGTCAAATAGACTCATTTGATAATTCATATGACAAGTCTTAACTTTAATAGGGCAAAGCAGAAGCAAAGTTACATTATTATCAGAGGCCCATACAACCGATAAATAATTCGCTATTTTCAATAACGACGTCAAGCCCGTAATGATAACTCGATTTTTAAAGCTCATCATCATCATCATCATTACAGCCCTTCACAAGTCCACTGCTGAACATAAGCCTCCCTCAAGGAATGCCACAAAGCGCTGTCCTGAGCCACCTGCATCCATCGACTTCCTGCATGTCTTACCAGGTCGTCACTCCATTTAGTGGGGGGACGCCCTAGACTTCGTCCGCCGGTACGAGGCCGCCACTCGAGAACCTTTTTTCCCCATCGGTTGTCAGTCGGTTCATAGAGCTATATGGCCAGCCCATTGCCACTTCAGCTTAGGCCGTTGGGCTATGTCGGTCACTCTGGTTCTACTGCAGATATCCTCATTTCTAAGTTTATCACGCAGAGAAACTCCGAGCATAGCCCTCTCCATAGCTCGTTAAGTGACCTTTAGCTTCCTCATCCGGCCAGCACTGAAGGACCACGTCACCACTGGCAAGCGCACGGGTTGTAGTCTCGTTTTCAAGCTTTGAGCTATACCTGACGAGAATATGTGCCGTAATTTCCCGAACGCTGCCCAGCCGAGTTAATCGTCGATTATAGGCTCACCAAGTTGGACTATTTGTCCCAGGTAAAAATGCTCCCAACAACTTCCGGCATAGGTGTGACATGGACGTTATACATGATCTTTGTTTTGTCCATCTTCATCTTAAGACCTAA